TTGAAATTACAGAATAGATGTAGACTCAGAGTATTTTCAAAAACAGTTTTTAGTGGCAAGACAAGTTATTGGAGGAAGAGAGTGAGAGGCTTGGTGACAGAGTTGGCCTTGTTGTAGATGAAACCTCTGTCAGAGAGAATAGATGGTAAATGTTTCTTTCCTGACTTTTAAAGATGTCAGACTCAATCTCTCCTGGATCTGAGAAAAGCATAGAATGGGAGAGGCATAGCTACATTAGTGGAGATTCTTTGCAGATGCAAATTTTCCCCACCTCAGTCTGTGAGCCCTGAGGCAATCATTTCAAAATATTTTAAGTAAATATATTTTAAGGTAAAATATTTTTATTTCCTTCACCTTTAAAAGACAAGAAGTTTCTCAGGGACACAGATCATTGTGGATGATTCTATATTCTCCATAGAATCTAGCAAATAGTTAATAGGATGAGGCTTATTGAATATATGCTGATTGAGTGTGGGCTTTAAAGCAGCCAAAGTCCTCAAAAAGCCATGGAAAAAAGTAAATAGAATTATTTCCCTTTATGTTTTCTTTTCAAGTGTAGAGAGTTTTAGTGACTATATGATGCAGCCTCCTCACTCCCATTTCAGGTCCCATGTGTAGGTGGATAGCAAGTCATTTTCTGATTTCCTTCACAGAATGACAACCAACCAAAATAAAAGGTTGAGATAACTATGAAAGCAAATCATAAAACTGTCCTTTACCTGAGGTCCAGATAATAGTGTTGATGATACCCTGAGATCTTGGATTGTGCTGGTTTCTACCCATAGGGTATGTCTGACCACCTGTGATTTCTAAATGATTTATTTTCTCTTTTCTCAGGCCTCTACAGGTATTGCTTTACTGAGGTCAAAAGAATAGGTGCAGGGAATATTGATAGGAGCAGCCCAAGTCAGAAGAAAACATTTTAGGGAAATAGTAGGCATCAGAAATGTATTAGTTGATATATCAAGGTTTTTAATTTGTGCTTAATACTTCTAAACAGAAACTTTGAACTACTGTGTAAGCAGTTCAGTTCAATTATACTTTTTATAGGTTCTTTGAATGCTTACTAGGCTAGGTCCTGGCCATATGGTGATGAACAAAGGAGATCTTTTTGTGGCACTGATGAACTTAACAGCACACTGAGAGTAATAACCAATAAACAAATAAAAAAAAAACCCAAATTGCAAATGTTGATACTACAAAGAGAAAGAGCAGAGAGTGTGAGAGTGTGTAATGATGTATAGGATTACCTAGATCGAGTGGGTGGTTAAGGTCTCTCAGACCCACAGACTGAGGTTAAAAGGAACCAGACATGTGAATTTTGTGATGTCAGCACAACTTACTTAACCTCTTTGAGTCTCAATTTTCTCATTTGCAATGTGGAAATAATCATAGGGCTCCTGCGAGGATGAATGAGATAATGAATAAGGTGTTTAACCTGTAAATAAAAGGCAACCCGAAATAAGTGGTAGTTATACTTAATGTTAAACATGGTATGGAGAATGAACTTTTGGGGAAGGACTGGAATGCAAACAGTTTAGTAAGGGAGCTGTTGCAATAGTCAATAGGGTTGATGACAGCAGCCTGTATTAGGATGGTGACAGTAGAGGTGGAGATAGATTAGAGATGATTTTACATGGAAGGAAGAATTACCTGGGTTTTCTGGGTTTTTTATTGTCTATGGGAGGAAATATAGTGGCAAAGGTCAGAATTACTCCCTAATTTCCAGCTTGAGTGTCTGGGAGGGGAGTGAGGGCACTGACTGAAAAGGGAAGCACAGACTCAGGAATGAATCACCAATCCCACATCCCTATGAGAGAGGAACCAAGAATATGTCCAGATTGGAGGGGAGACAAATTGGCAGCACAAAGGGAGCAAACTGCCCACAAATAGGCAACAATAGAGCCAGACTCGTAGATAGACAGAGAGAGGAAGAGAAAGACACACACACACACACACACACACACACACACACACACACACACACACAGAGAGAGAGAGAGAGAGAGAGAGAGAGAGACGTTAAGAGAGAGAGATGGAGTGAGGGAACAGAGAGGAGTATACTCTGATTTTAGTCCTTCCATCCAGGATTTTCTTGTTAGTCGCTCCTTAGCTTCTTCTTTCTTATATTTCAGAAATGATACAATTGTCCACAGCAAGCTAAATGTTCTCTCCAAGAGAGTCTATGTTTCTGCTCAACCCCAAATAAATACCTTCTGCCTCTCCTCATCATGGGGATTTTACATCTAATGGTCACTAAGAAGATCTGGGGCGGGGGGAAAAAAAACCCTTCTTACCTTCCCTTTAGCCTGAAGCAAAAAAGAGGTTTTTGGAAACAAGCCATGCAAATCTCTAAGCTCACAATGAACTGTGAATTGCAGAGACATAAGAACCCACATTTAAAAAAAGAAAAGAAAAAAAAAGGTGTGAACTTGACCTCTAGCTTGCTGTTCTGGTGTAATTGGGCTCTGCTGTTTAGCAGGAAGATGTGAACAGAACGTGCCTGTTTTGTAAGTGAAACTTTCTACACCCAGTGAAGCTAAAACAAACAGCCATTTCTTTTAAGTGCAAAAGTGGAAGTATGACTGCAGGGGAGTATGGTTATGAACAGTTCTTAGTTCCTGAAATTGTAATGCACTGATGGATCTTTCTTTGCTCTCTCACAGCCTGTGTGTGGACAATAGTTGATAGTAGAAGCAGTGCCAACACTAAAATCAAAGTAGGTGGTTCCTACTATGGGATTAGAATGGTTCTGCCACAATATGCTCTTCACATGTCACAGTGAAATTGAAATAATGTCTTTTGTAGCAACATGGATGGAGTTGGAGGCCATTATTCTAAGTGAAGTAACACAAGAGTGGAAAACCAAAAACCAGGTATTCTCACTTATAAGTGGGAGCTAAGCTATGAGCATGCAAAGGCATGTGGAGTAATAGTTAAGATAGCCGAATTCTACTAAGTAGTCCCTCCTAGTCAGGGAGAGGAAAGTGGCATAGTGGAAATACCACAGGCTTCAGAACAAGCCAGGAATGATGGTAAATCCTATCTTTACCCTTTTTCTAGCTTTGCTACTGCCTGTGAAGCTCAGTTTTTTCATCTAGATCATAGGGTGATAATAGTTCCTACATTTTAGGACAGTTGTGAAAATTAAATTAAATTAAATAATACACTTGAAAACTTCCATTACAGATTGTGGGATACATCCTTGATGGTCACAATACGATAATTATTTCCTGCCTTTCCACTTGTGAGAGTCCCTTCCACCCTCCATTCTAAGTAACACATACATAAGCAAGATGACTGCATGACTATTTAAGACGTATCACAAATAAGAGGACAAATAGGGAGAAGGAATAAAACAGGGGGAAAAGCAAAAGAATAATTAACAGTAAGAGCAGCTCATAACATCCACACTCCTTTATCTGTGAATTCATCACTTGAGGTTATGTTTTTGTTAGCACAACTCTATTTTCTGGAGCAGGACGTAACATGACATAGGAAGACAATCTGTTACTTATGGGGAGAATCTAAAACCAGGTTATTCTTTTGTTTTTTGTAAACTTACTTCAAACAAAACAAAATAAAAACAATAAACAACAGAAACCCTTCCTCTTCTGAGAAACAACCTCAGTACATTGGTTTTTTTCCACTTCTAGCTCGAAATACAGTAAACATTCCTGCAATATGCACAGAAGGTATGTTTGTGAACTTTGTCATGGGGAGAAGAATAAAGATGAGGGGAAGGGTGTAAATGGAGGCAAGGCCCCTTGTCCTTCCATTTCAAGTCTCAGATCTTCCATTAACAGCTGTGTGGCCATAATAAACTCCTCTCTCTGGGCCTTGCTTCTTTCTGTATTATGTGGAGAGTGAATTTGATGATTTCCAAAGGTCCTCCCCAGTCTGAAATTCTACAAGATAGTTAAAGCAAAATGAGTAGTCTGTGGCTCTCTTACCATTCTTATCTGCAGGCGATCAGCATAATTCCATGTCCAGCCTCTGATAATCTCTAAAGATTACTCTACTCTCTCTATACCTTAATATAACACATAATAAAAACCATACTAAATCATAAAATATGATTAAGGAAGTCCAAAAACGAAAGAATCTCTTCATAACGATTACTTTAATGAATAAAGAAAGCATTACATTTTAAACTGTCTTCAAAAATGGTTTCAAAGTCCTTCTTTTGCTAGTGTCCAAAGCAGTGTTCATTGTGACTGTTGGATAATTTGTCATGTGAATGTTACCACACAAGTACAAGATTCTACTTAGAGGTAGAATTGGCGTTTTCCCCTCCAAGACTATACAAAGGAAAATACTCTATTTCAGCTTCTAAGTTCATGTATTATTAAAACTTTTTATGTAAATTTGGATACCCAAGCCTAGGGAGAAAGACAAACTGCAGGATAACCTAGAGTCACAAGTTATTATGATAGAATAATGAGGTCACACTCTCAGGTCTTGAAAATCAGCCAGGACACTGACAATGCAGGATTAAGGAGGCAGGACCATTTTTCAAGTGCTGGGGCTCCAAGATAAGAAGCCAGGACCCAATGAGCAAAATGGCAGACAAAGGACAGGCATGGGAACCTAAAATATGAGGCTAAATTTCTACTATGGCAATTGGGAGTGAGCAATATTTAATCTAACCAGGGCTTTGGACAAAACAAATTTGGAGGCAAAATAAATATACTCGAATTATACGCTGTTTTTGCTGTGATCAGAATAAAAGATTTAATATTTCAAGACATTTTTACCTGCAAAATACAACTTAGAGAATCTCCGGTGGGGGGCAGTTGTGGGACAATTTTATGGTTTCTAAACTGTTACATTGGGTGACTTTGGATCAGTACTGTATTTTCCTTGAGCCTCTAATTCTTTATATGTAAACAGGTCTCTTCTAATTCTAATAGTCTGTGCCTCTTCACCAAGAGAGGTCTCGGTGTTAACTAAAGGACTAATTAACCATTATATTCTTTATTTTGTTTTACTTTGGGCAGGAACCATAAATCCATGGCTTACCTTGACAAATATACTGAAATATTCAAGATGGGTAGCAACAGTACCAGCACTGCTGAGATTAACTGTAATGTCACTAATGTGAAATTTCAATACTCCCTTTATGCAACCACCTATATCCTCATATTCATTCCTGGTCTTCTGGCTAACAGTGCAGCCTTGTGGGTTCTGTGCCGCTTCATCAGCAAGAAAAATAAAGCCATCATTTTCATGATCAACCTCTCTGTGGCTGACCTTGCTCACGTACTATCTTTACCCCTCCGGATTTACTATTACATCAGCCACCACTGGCCTTTCCAGAGAGGACTTTGCCTGCTCTGCTTCTACTTGAAGTATCTCAACATGTATGCCAGCATTTGTTTCCTGACGTGCATCAGTCTTCAAAGGTGCTTTTTTCTCCTCAAGCCCTTCAGGGCCAGAGACTGGAAGCGTAGGTACGATGTGGGCATCAGTGCTGCCATTTGGATCATTGTGGGGACTGCCTGTTTGCCATTTCCCATCCTGAGAAGCACAGACTTAAACAACAACAAGTCCTGCTTTGCTGATCTTGGATACAAGCAAATGAATGCAGTTGCATTGGTCGGGATGATTACAGTTGCTGAGCTTGCAGGATTTGTGATCCCCGTGATCATCATTGCATGGTGTACCTGGAAAACTACTATATCCTTGAGACAGCCACCAATGGCTTTCCAAGGGATCAGTGAGAGGCAGAAAGCACTGCGGATGGTGTTCATGTGTGCTGCAGTCTTCTTCATCTGCTTCACTCCCTATCATATTAACTTTATTTTTTACACCATGGTAAAGGAAACCATCATTAGCAGTTGTCCCATTGTCCGAATTGCACTGTATTTCCACCCCTTTTGCCTGTGCCTTGCAAGTCTCTGCTGCCTTCTGGATCCAATTCTTTATTACTTTATGGCTTCAGAGTTTCGTGACCAACTCTCCCGCCATGGCAGTTCTGTGACCCGCTCCCGCCTCATGAGCAAGGAGAGTGGTTCATCAATGATTGGCTAAAATTAAGATATCTCTTTAATTATGACTTTGTTTACCTACATTCCTTGTATTTTTCCCAAAGGCCAGAGTTGAAAACCAATTTCTTTAATTGAACCTTGTGAAGAACAGAAATAAGTACTTTTTGTGTGATATTCACAGTCAACAGAGGTGTGATGGTGAAGGCAGAGTGTGAAAAATGTGAGAGAGGAAGAGAAAATAGATTTACCTGATTCTGCTTTGAAATTCAAGCCACTTTCTTATTTAAGAAATCTAGATCAAATTTTTACAGATGTAAATAAAAGTTGAATTTTTTACCTTAAATTTTTTTCAATAAGTAAGTTATTGTTAATAATGCACAGTAAATATGTGAGTTTGTCCTAGCATGTAAAAAAATAGCTTTCATATAAAGACCTTAAATTCTGAGTGAGAGTAAAAATGTCTAGTCCTTCTAACGATAAATTTTTCTAACAGGCAAGACAGTGTGAAGAATTCAAGCAACATGTACATAAATTTCAGGACCACAAGCCTGTTACTAAAGAAAAGGCACGGAAATTCATTCATTCCTTCAAAATGTGTTGGGTGCCTATTGTGCTCTGGGTTGTCATTTTGTTAGGTAGTTTCTTTTTTTTCATAAGTTATTGGGGTACAGGTGGTATTTGGTTACATTAAGTTCTTTAGTGGTGATTTGTGAGATTTTGGTGCAGCCATTACCCGAGCAGTATACACTGCATCACATTTGTAGTCTTCTATCTCTCATCCCCTTCCCACTATTGCACACATAATATCTCATCTTGCCCTCCTAATAAACCTGTGGAAATTGCCAATACAAATGAATAAATGGAACTTCAGAGAGGTTAAGCAATTTGCCTCAGGATCAACAGTGGTTAGCCAAAATTGGTCCAGTGTAATACACCATATATGCTTATGTTATTCCCTTCTTTTTGTTGTTACATTTATCAGGTCTATACTAAATTACCCTTCAATGATGAAGACACACACTAAAGCTAAGCCACATGAGATCAAGTCCATTTCAACATGGTTTACCTGGAATTCTCCAAAAAATCTGTGGGTTGTGGATTTGGCACGTCAAGCTTCAGATTGCAAGGTCTTAAGTGGTAAATAGATGCGTTGTCCTAATACCGTTCCAAGGTAGAGAATCCTGATGATAAGGAGTATAGGAAACTCAAATAGTTCATTATTTCTAAAAATAAATGTATATTTTAAGGCATGCTAAAAGTCCTACAAACCGCATAAGTAGGTGAAAAAAGAAACTCTATAGGGTGATAAACAGTCTATAAAACCTGGAAATTTGTGTGGAGTTCACCTAAGCTCACTTTTCCTAAATATAACTATATAAAATTGTAAACGAATTTGTTTTTTAGAAACTTTTAAGAAGATTTCTGTGAGCATAATTGACAATATCTGCATTAGAAGCAGAAAGTATTATCCATCATAAATATGAGAAAAGTATATGTCCTCTTTCTGACAATCTTTTTATCTTATTTTTTTCAAATGCTATGGGTGTTGTTTCAGCACCATTTTAAAAAATTTGAATACAAACAATCCCTCAGCTTATCAGGTTGAATTTTATGAAGCTCGCTTCATCACTCTTATCTTTTATGTCTGCAATATAAATAGTATAGACATTTGGTGTGAAGGGAGTAGAAAGGAAGTAGTAGTTCTGAGAGTATTCATTTGAACAGAGTGACTATGGAAGAATGAATAGCAAAAAAAGGAGAATTTTTTAAAAAAGATCTCTCACTGGGAAAATAAAGAGTTATGCATTTACAAAGTAATTAAACTGGTTTTCCTTGTATTTTATTAATCCGAATCTAATGGCACTTCCTTAGGAGGGTTTTCAGATGTGCTTGTAGTTAATGGCAACATTATTGGAATGACTACATAGACAGTCCTACTCTGAGGATATGACTTTGGAAGAAACCCTTTTGGAACTACACATCCTGCTATGTCTGTGGAGAAATGGAACCACAATTCTCAAGAGTCACACTTCATATTCCCTGCTTTCAGGTGGTTGACAAAAGGTAGTTCTTCAAGCACAGGATTTATGGAATAGTGGGCAAATTAAACAGCATGCTTTTTATTTTGACTACCATTTAAGTGGAATCTTTGAGATTTTTTTTGACATGTGAATCTCTAATGTGGTGAGAGAGAAAAACATAAAAACATTCAAGCAATCGACAATTGGTTCTTTAACTTTAAAGGGGATGTCTTACATAATGCCAAAGGAAAATGTGACAGGGCTTCAGCTGATGACATAGCAGTGCAAGAAATCAGTGAAATTGCTTTAAGGTATTACAATAAACAACAATTTTAACAGTTATTCCTATGCTTGTCACAAGCACATAATTTGAGACAAACAAGACATCAAAACATACATCCTTGAATTAGTTTTTCAAAAAGTCAACACTGAAGCTAAACATTGCCCCCAAATCTCTGCAAGGCACTTATCAAAATCCACATAGAACCCATTCAGTATCTCATAACACTGATGAAAGACTGTTTAAACTTCTGATAGTTTTGGTAAAAATGGGAAGGAATTCAGCAAAAATGGGAGAAATATAATCTTTGCAGTAATTTATATGACCTTAAATGCCATTTATGCATGACTGGATATGCTGTTTCTCTTTACATTTTAAAATAGCTTAGAGTGTTATTGGTTAGCTGGACATGGTGGTGCGCACCTGTAGTCCCAGCTACTTGGGAGGTTTAGGCAGGAGAATCACTTGAACCCAGGACATGGAGGTTGCAGTTAGCTGAGATTGTGCCACTGACTGTGCTTCAGCCTGGGTGACAGAGGAAGAAAAAAAAAAAAAGCACTGTTATTAGATTGTTTGTAACTCAAAGAATAAAGGCTTCAGGGATGAATTTCCCCATTCTCTATGCTGTGCTTATTTCATATTGCATGTCTGTATCAAAACATCTCATAAAACCCAGAAATATATACACCTACTATGTACCCACAAAAATTAAAAATACAAAAGCTTTAAATACTACCACAGAGTATAGGTATAACATTTGCCACTGATCAAATGAATTACCCTTATAAAATATGTGTTCTGAAGACTGTACTTGTAGTACCAGCTTCTGCTTCCTGTGAGGCCCTCAGGAAGCTTATAATTATAATGGAAGGTGAATGGAAGGCAGGCATGTGACATGGTGAGAGAGGGAGCAAGAGAGAGTGAAGAAAAAGTGCCACACTCTTTTAAACAAACATCTTGCGTGAAATTGTAGAGTGAGAACTCACTCATTACCTTGAAGACAGAACCAAGTCATTCATGAGGGATCTGCTCCCATGAACCAAACACTTCCCCATAGGCCCACCTGCACTATTAGAGGTCACATTTCAGCATGAGTTTTAGGGAGGATGAAACATTTAAACCATATCAGCAATAAATATAGAGGAAGAGTAAGCCTTCTTATTGGAAACCCTTCTGTGTTAAGGGTGGAAAGAGAAAAAAAGCTAAGGAGTGCCTAGAACTGAATACGAGAGCTTGGCTAGAAATATAGAAAGGAGCAGTAATTAACAAGACTGTAAAAGTTAGATATTAAGAATATGGAGGACGTTGAATGTCAGGTATATAATTTGTACTTTTCTGTGGTGGGGTGAGGCAAGATGGATCCTAAAAATTGTGGAGATAAAAAAGCTTATACAGATCTTATATAGAAACAATGATATGACATAATAACAGGGGCAAAAGTTTGTTGGCAAGTAAACACTATTGTTTACTCATTCATTCTGAGATTTCGACTATCTAGATAATTTCACAGACATACACATGAATAATAAGAAACGTACAACAGGAATAGCTATCATTTATTCAATCCAACCATGTGAGGGGAACTTTAACATGGATCATCATATTTAATTTTCTTTTTTTCTTTCTTTTCTTTTCTTTTTTCTTTCTTTCTTTCTTGCTTGCTTGCTTGCTTGCTTGCTTGCTTTCCTTTCTTTCTTTTCTTTTCTTTTCTTTTTTTCCTTTTTTTTTTGACAGTCTTGCTCTGTCGCCCATGCTGGAGGCTGGATGCAGTGGCACGATCTTGTCTCACTACAACCTCTACCTCCCAGGCTCAAGCAATTCTCCTGCCTCAGACTCCCAAGTAGCTGGAACTACAGGCAAGCACCACCACACCTGTCTACTTTCTTTTTTTTTATTTTCAGTAGAGACAGGGTCTCACTTTGTTGACCAGGCTGGTCTCAAACTGCTGAACTCAGGTGATCTGCCCACCTCAGCCTCCCAAAGTACTGGGATTACAGGCATGGGCCACCACGCCTGGCCAGATGGTCATATTGATTTTTTTAAAAACAACTCCATGAGGTAGATACTGTAATTAACTCCAATTTCCAGATGAAAAACAAGTACAGATAGGTTCAGTAACTTGTTCGAGAATATACAGCTAATAAATGACAAGGTCAGATTTTTTTTTTTTCACAGTCTCACTCTGTTGCCTAGGCTGAAGTGCAGTGGAATGATTTGACTCACTGCAACCTCCGCCTCCCAGGTTCAAGCGATTCTTATACCTCAGCCTCCCAAGCAGCTGGGATTATAGGTGCCTGCCACGATGGCCAACTAATTTTTGTATTTTTAGCAGAGATGGGGTTTCACCATGTTGGCCAGGCTGGTCTCGAACTCCTACCTCAGGTAATCCACACGCCTCGGCATCCCAAAGTGATGGGATTACAGGTGTGAGCCCCGTGCTCAGCCAAGTTCAGGATTTTTAACTCTAAAAATCAAAATTAAGAACTCACATGTTTAACACGGTATTACTGGCCTATATATTACTATAATACAATGAATTTCATGGGAAATGTTCATATTTTTAAGATGCTCTTCCCTTGTATTCAAAACAACAATGCAATTAAAATGTTGTGAAGGGGCAGAGCAAGATGGCCGAATAGGAACCGCTCCAGTCTCCAACTGCCAGCACGAGCCACACAGAAGACAGGTGATTTCTGCATTTTCAACTGAGGTGCTGGGTTTATCTCACTAGGGAGTGCCTGACAATCAGTGCTGGTCAGCTGCTGCAGCCCCACCAGCAAGGGCTGAAGCAGAGTGAGGCATCGCCTCACCTGGGAAGCGCAAGGGGGAAGGGAATCCCTTTTCCTAGCCAGGGGAACTGAGACACACAACACCTGGAAAATCGGGTAACCCCCACCCCAATACTGCGCTCTACCAAGGACCTTACCAAACGGGCACACCAGGAGACTATATCCCACACCTGGCTGGGAGGGTCCCACGCCCATGGAGCCACCCTCACTGCTAGCACAACAGTCTGCAATCTCCAGGCAAGGCAGCAGCAAGGCTGGGGAGGGGAGTCCGCCATTACTGAGGCTTAAGTAGGTAAACAAAGCGGCTGGGAAGCTCAAACTGGGTGGAGCTCACA